AAACCACAGAGGAGCTTCTAACTGTTAGCGACATTACAGGCCTGCGAGCGACAAAGAACACAGTCAAGTGCCCTCCCTCGCCTCTCCGTACACGTCCTCCAGTCCGTTTCATGCCCATTGCAAATTACCCTCTTGGTGTATTAACATACTAACAGAGAAACATGCAATAGAGAGGTAAACTCGATAGGCACAAGCTTCACAATGTTCTGAATTACAGTCCAAAAGGAACTACTACAGAGTGAAAACAAGTTATACCCACCTCAACTCTGCCGTGGGAGCTTCGAAGAGCGGTCGACCTCATTGTTAAGCCTTTCCTGTGAGTGATATCCGGACCAGTTCATCCGTTTATCGTCCATAGCAACGGAAAAGAAAACGTAATCCAGCGGTTGTTGTCCGGCAGACGACGAACGCAATGAACGGTTTCAACAACGCCCGTATCGATATCGATATCGATATGACAATTGCGATAGGTCATAAAGCCATTTTGCTGTCGCTTCTTTTGAATTTCCATGCTGTAGACTTAGACAATCCAATAGGCGAAAGAAGCCCCAATTTCCCGAATGTTGCTCGAAACGAAATAGTAGATTGAAGTAAGTAATGCGAACCTACCTCCAGCTCGCTGGGAGGCTATGGAGAGTTGTCGCCCTCCTCTTCGGTCCCGTAAGCGATATTCCATTATTCGAGTAGAGCACCAAAAACGGCCGAGCCATGGAACGGTAAGACAATGGACAGTTTCGACACCGCCCGTATGGATATCGATATCGATATGACGATTGCGATAGGTCATAAGCTCATTGTACTACCGTTTCTTTTATTATTTCATGACGTATTCAGACTTTTACCTGAAACCCATTAGGTAATACCTTTAAAACTTATGTATTATTGGTATTCAACCATTATCAGTCCCTATAGTAGCTTCCTGCGTAACCAATTCATCCACCTGAAGGCGACATGTTGAGGTGGTCCATGGATGATATGTCAATAGATGATCGGAGCTTCGACACCCCTCACCGCCTTGTTGCATTGATTAGGCTAATACATTCAGCTCAAATGAACCAAGTAGTTTTCAGAATGATTTTGCGCCTCCAGATCACTTTGCATATACAGGGTGACCCACATAAAGTGTGACAGGCAATAAAAAAATCTACATATGAGCCGCTGGGCTGGAGGATGCGGTGATTCCTTGGGCGGAGAAGGACGCCATGAACGTCAGCTGAACCTTTCAGCAGAATTGGGCAAGGAAGGGGAATGGTCTTCCACTCGGTTACGACCCACTTAGCAGTCTCTTCCTCAATGGAGAGACTCATAAGATAACCTAAATCGCTCCGCACCTCGTAAGCTGTACCGTGAAGAAAAGGAAGACCACAAGCCGACGATCTTGGAAGTCGGCCTCTGAAATTCTCAGGAACCGATCCAGCTACTTGGAGAAACGCTGTCATCCTACAGTGTGGGATGTGAAAGCCAGGGATGGGTGAGAGCTGAAGGTGGATGCAGAGGTCAGAGGTAACAGGTTCTAGAACGACGAAGTACAGTGAGTTGTAAAACAGAAAAAAGATCATAGGAAAAGCAGAGAACACTAGACCAAAGGTACGGGAAAATTGGCGGTCGAGAAGGACAGAAGTTCGTATACAGGTTGGCCAAAGCCAGCATCGAACATTAAGTAGTATTAAGTATTAAGCAAGTATACAGTACGAACACCATAGTAGTCAGATCAGTAAAGACCAGCTTCAATGCCATCATGAGGAACCTAGTTGATGTAATGCGCAGATGGCAGGGATATTCCGATGGGCTTTTTAGAAGAATTTCACCGAAGGAATAGCTACAATATGTCATAGAAGCGGCAGCTGATGCCATCGCAGTGTGGATATAAAGTGAGGTCCCATTAGCAATACGGAAAATGAAAGCTGGGAAAGCAGTTGGTTCAAGTGGGGTGCCTAGTGAGGAGTGGTACGCACTCGTAGATCACGGGATCAGACGGCTTAACGAACTTCTGAACAATGCGGCTGCTTAGGAAAGAACGCCAGATGCAGGAACAGTAGGTAGAATCGTCCCCATCTCTAAAGGCACCGTTTATGATAAATTTAGGGTACCCTTTTTTGACGGGAATTGATAGAACTACTCTAGAATAAAACGATAACAACGAAAAAAGCGCAAAAAACGATGACCAAAAAGAAATAGAAAGGGTCAAAAAAGAGCTGGAAAGGGGGGTTGGACGAGTTTCTTATTGGAAGAACGGCAGTGTTCGGGCGAGCGCACGACGGCGACGCAATGTCTGCAATAGCAGACAACACACCCAAACAGCTGATTTAGACTACAGTCTTGAACCTGGCAATTTGCCAACCAGCCTATCGATTTTTCACTAATGCTGCTCCAATGCGAAAGTGGTGAAGGACAATGAGAACTCGTAGTCAACCTAATGAGGGGCGGAGGGCAACCGTGGCTCACTCTCCGGCCCCTTATTGTGCCCTATCCAGACGGTTGCCGACCTCATTCCTGCACAAGTGTTATCAGAGAGGGCGTCGAATTCAAACCATGTGCAAATCTCCGAAACCATTTTCTCGTGAACAGTGCCTTTAAATAGGAAGCATAGAAAGAAGAAGAAGACACATCACATCATATCAACACAAAATAGGATAAAAATTAGCAGTGAACGGAAAAGAATGGAAGATAAAGCATAGAAGGAGGATTGAAGAGGAAATAAAGAACGAAAGCAAGAAAAATAAGCTGGAAGTATGGAAAAAAAGGAATGAGGAAGGAGAAGAAAGGAGGTAGGGCGATCAAAAAGAAAGTATTCCTATTAGGAGATAAGTTGATAATAAAATGGAAGCGAAAGAAGAAGGAAGAAGGGAATAGGATGAGGAAGAAAGGAAGGAAATAGAAAGAAAAAAGAAAAAAAGAAATAAGATGAAATGAAAAAAGGAAGGAAGGGCGAAGGGAGATGGAAGAAGAAAGAAAGGGGAAGGAAAAAAGAATTAGAAGAACGAAAGCGGAAGAAGAAAAAAACAAGATAGATGAAAGTAGAAAGGAGAATGAAGCAAGGAAGGAAGAAGCTAGATGAAGGAAAAAGAACGAAGAAGAAGGGAAGAAGAAAGAATAGTGAAGGGAGAAGGGGAAAGGAGAAAGAAGAAAGGAAGAAGTAGGAAGTCGGAATCAGGAAGAAGGAAAAAGAAAGAAAGGAAGAAAAATAAACAAGAATAGGAGAAAGAAAACAATCTCGTCAAGAAGGTGATCTGAATGGCCACGTCTGCAGTGAACGTAGGACTTAGAAAGGTTCCACAGGAAGTGGATTAGGAGTAAGAAACAAAGAAGGGGAGAGAGTTTTTGACCTGGCTACAGCCCACGACCCAGCAGCACTTTGTTCTCGAAGAGGGACACTTAGACGGTAGCCTACAGCACTGGAGGGAGACAAACAGGGGTCTCACAAACTATCAAGAAAATCAAAGTACTGTTTGGCGAAGGTCTGAATACACCGCGCAGATCTCTTCCGACAGTAGAGATGGCTAACGAACTTCCTAAGAAGTCAAGGACGAAACGGAGCTGAGGGGCCGGTGGTCGAAGCTGCACCGAGCACAACAAGATCTTAGAGGGAAGGTACTGGAGGTCTCTGGTCTCTTAGATCCACCAAACATGGATCGACACTGTAAAGGTCATCCTATGGTTTGGTAGAAAGCGATCGGGGATACTCGAGATGGACTCCGAGGGGATCAAAGAAGCGTGGTACTGGAACGATGATGTCCAGCAAGTTGCGAGGCAGAAGAAAGCTGCCTACAAGTGCTGGCTGTGGGAGCGAGTTTCAAAAGTCTAACTGCTCGCATAAGTTGCAAGATGCTCGCAAAGGCTGCTGTGGCAAAAGCGAAAAATACGGAGCTGGACGCCTTGTACGAATGGCTCGATGGTCAAGAGGGCGAAAAGTTCATCTCGAAGCTGGCTCAAGCACGGCCTCTCACTTTACTCAGGAAAATGAGGTAGTGAAGGGCAGCAACTGTCCAATTCTGAGGAAGTCCATTGAGGTCAAGTTTAGATGGATGAATACTTTGACAGGCACTTAAACAAGGAATCCCACGCTATCACAGCTCCAAGGTAGAGACGATGGCTAGTCCCATTGCACTCTGTACAGAAGATGAGGTCCTACGGGCGATAGGGAAGACGAAGGTGGGCAAGGAAAATGCTTCCGATGTAGTATCAAATGAGGTGTGGAAGACGTTCGGAATGCACGGGATTGGGTGGCTCGCCCAGATCGTGAACGCCCTGGCTGTCGATGACGGTTACCAGATGCGTGGAGGAACACTATCGTCATCCCCATCTCCAAACAGAAAAGAATGCGCTGGATTGTTCTGGAGTCGGGTTGGCTGCGGATACTATTATATAATATGAATCTGTGCGAGCGATCAATCAACTCAAAATCAAGGAAACTTGTCACGATATCACAGAGCAGTTTGGCTTCATGTCAGAAAGGTCTGCAACGGATATCATCTTCATAGTTAGGAGGTGATAAAGGAATGTCGAAAAAAGCGTTAGTACTGCTACCTGGCCTTTCTTGATCTGAAGAAACCTTTCGACAACCTCCCGTGAAAAGTGTTTTGGAAAGCAGTTAGAGAACGAAATATTCCTGGTCACATGATCTCCTTCGTCAAGGATTAGCAAAGGCAACATACGTCACGGTTGAGGTACACCAACGATCAGCTCTGGGCCCATTCTTACTCCTGCTAAAACGGATAATATCACAAAAAGTCCATGGATCGACCAATACTTCACGCGAATGATAATCAGGACAAGCTGCAGAGGTGCAGAAAGTGCAGATGGAGAGCAGGCTAGGTTGAATGTGCTCAAGACTGACTTGCTCGGCTCCGATTAGAGCAAGGAGTCAATCACACGCAGCCTTGGAGAAGCCATCGAAAGGGCACGAGACATTCAATAGCTGGGGAGTGAAATAGCTGCATTGGCAGCGTGGACAACCGTGCTCCTGTCGGTGCTCCTTGACGATCAGAAGAAAAAGCCCGATGCTTCATGACAGCGAGTGCTGGCCCTTCAGCAAAGATCGTAAAGAAGCCTCACTCAGCTGCAATGATGCTCAGATGTCCGCAGTTGAACTCGCCTGGGCCGGGTCAGGGACGAGGACACCAGACGGGTATACAGACAGTCCCTCCTGTCCAGCGGAAGATGCGAGAGCAGCGTCTGCTGTGGTGTGGGCATGTTTGGTAAGGCCGAAGGATCGCGACATAAGAAAGGTATCGGAGTTCCAAGCTGAAGAAAAGCGACCACGTGGAACTTCGAAGGAGAGAAGTTTTTCGAAAACCAAGGTAACGGCAAGAGTTGCTGTAGATAGAAAGAAGTAGTGACAACTCATTAGAGCAGTAAACCCCACGGCTGAAGAAGGAAGAAAGAAAGAGGAATGAAGAAGCAGGAAGGAGTAAGAACAAGGTGGCGGAAGGGAAAAGAAGGAAGGAGGAATAAGTAAAAATGAATAAGTGAGGGGGAAAAAGAAGAGGGAATTAAGTAGAAAAAGGAACAAGGAAAGCAAGAGGCAGGAAAATGTGAGTGAAACGGACAAGAAGGCAGAAGCAAGAAAAAGGAAGAAGGAAGGAAGTAGTAGGAAGAAGTAGAAAGAAATAAGGAAAGGAATAAGTGAAGAGGAAAAAGGAAGGCGGAGGGAAGGAGGAAAAAACTGAAAATTGAAAGAAGAGCTAGAAGATAGATGGAAAGCTGAAGGAGAAGTACAGGTGGACAAGTTATTAGAAGTAGGAAGAGGTAATAAGGAGGAAAGAGAAAGAATAAGGAGGGAGGACGAGTAGAAAGGATGAAGAAAAGAATGGCGGGTAAAAAGAGAAGAATAAAAGAAGAACGACGAATAAAGAAGGGTGAGGGTATGAAAAACTCAGAGTAAAGAAGAAAAAGAAGAAGGAAGGAGAAATAAGATGGAAGGAAGAAGATACATGTAAGAAGAAAGGAGAAAGAAGGATGGATGATCTGAGTAGCCCCATCGGCAGTGGGGGCAATGGAGTGAGAGGCAGAAACGAGGAATGAGAGCATAATGTCTACTTGTCCTTAAGTTTGTAGCATCTCCTTTGCAAAAAGGAAAACTCAGAAGGTAACCTACAGCAGTGGAGGAAGACAAATGGCTCGACCATTCGACCATATATTCATAAAAAGACCGCTCTCAGAACCGTCATGAACATTAAAACTCTTACTGGTGAGAGTCTGGCAATACAGCACAGACCTCTCTTAGATGACATAGCTATCGGTCTTAACAAGAAATCAGGACGAAAGCGGAGTGGAGGATCTGGTGGTGGGCGGAAGCAGCACCGAGCTGGAAAAAGTAAGCTTTGAACGCGAAATACTGGAGGCCGGCCTCTCAGATCCTGAAGGACTGATAGAGCATTACCGGGCTAACGCCGTGAAAATTATCGTACACTGTGCGAGTAAAATTCTTGGGGAGGCTCAAGATGGATTCAGAGGAGGCAAGCAAGCATCGTTTTGAAACGATGAAATGCAGTGAGCTGTGGAGAAAAAAGCTGCCGTTCATTAGGGTCGGCAAAAGACGCGAGCTCCAGAAGACCCAGCTGCCTACAATCTTCCAGAGACTTACTAAGGCTGTCGTATTAAAAGCAACCCACGACCTGGATGCCTTATACGAAAAACTCAATGGTCAATAAGAAGAGAAGCGCGGCACCTAGATACTCAAAACATCAGAGCAGCGAGGGCTGTAAAGGTCAGAAATGGTGCAACTGCGAGCAAGCCTTGTGAGGTCAGGTGTAGGTTGAAAAAATATCTTGATACGTTCCTCAACTAAAATTTACTAAAAACTCCAAAGTGAAAATAGCTTCGAGCAGAACCGAAGGCCGGACTGAATGAGGCATGGAAGGCGCTTGGAGAGCACGAAATCAAGTGGTTCACCCCGCTCCTTAACACCGTGGCCACTGACGAAAGTATCCCAGGTGCATGGAAGGGCAAAGCCCTTTGCTCAAGGGGAAGGGATGCTATGGAGTGTTACAAATACCGTTCTCAAGTCTGCTGACTATGAATGTCAGCACAAAAGAAATCCGTATCCGTAGAGGATGGTCCACAGACCATCCTCTACGGATATGGCGTCTGCTGATGGCGCAAAGCAGAGAAGAACTTTAGTGCAAGCTATAGAGGCGGCAGAAGGTGTTGGCAGAAAACGGCTTAGTATGGAGAAGACCACGGCAGTCTTATATTGGCTCCGAAGAGTCCGTAGAGCCAATCTTAGACTGCTTTGGAGACCGCATCGAAAGGAAACAGGGCTTATGTTGCCTGGGGAGTGATCTAATCGACGATAGAATGGACCAGTATGAAAAGCAGGATCAGTTCACCGGTATGCTCTGCGGACCACGACGTTACAGGACGCTCAAAGGAAAAGTGTACGCAGGGGTGAGGATTAAAATGCTCTATGGCAGGGAGTGCTGGCCCGCAGGTACAAACCATGTGAGACAGCTTCATTCCACTGAAATCAGGACGCTCAGATGGGTCATCGGTTAGGGGCCTGAAACGAGGATATTAGAGCATTCACGCTAACATCCGCTACCCGGCTTAAGACGAGAGACAGCGTATGGGGTGCTGCGGCAATGTACTGAGAAGGCCACAAAATCACCTGATATGGAATTCAAAGTACCTTAAGGATTGCGATAAGCGGCCACGGGGATCACAAAAGAAGGGGTGGCGAGACGTGATAAAGAAGGACTTTGCCGAGATCAAAGTAACAATAGAAGATGTCGCAGACAGCAGTAAGCGGAGGCAGCTGACGAGAGCACTGGACCCTACAACGATGCAAGATCTACGCTAAGGAAGAGAAGAAGAAGAAGTGAAAAGAGAGAGGAACAAGGATTGCAGAAGTGGAAAAGTCATATCGCTGAAGAAGCCAATACAGAATTTTCTGGTAAAAAGATTATCCAAGCAGGAAAACCTTAAGCACAATAGACGGTCTCTCCTAGAGGTAGATGTAACCTCAAAAACATGACAGCATATTAACNAGAAGTAACGGGGCTTTCGAAGCAGCACGAGTAAACAGAAAGGATCTCACTGAATGCAGCGAAATTTTCATGTGTAGAAATTACTAGAAATGGTAAAATGAAGGAGTAAATACACATTTTACGGGAGGTTCTATACGACTTCATGAAGCGTTAGATGGTTCAAGCATCATCAGAACCGGTGCAATCCAAACCCAAGCTATACGATGCCGTGAGAAACCCAGGTCTTACTGATGGAACGTTGTTGAATGGAATTGATAAGCCCACAAAAGGCTAGAAAATACAAAAATCTACAGCAAGCATCATAGCCTCGTTCAGGCGGTAGAAACCAAGGCAATAAATGGGATGTGTAATGTAGGAACAAGAAGAAACCCTCTGATTTTGAAACCTATTTTCCTACTCCTGTGAAGCTTTTAGCAAGGTTATGCCTGGTTTTTGGGAAGCCTCCAAGGAATTTATATGCATTGTTGCAAAGTCATGGCGTACACCAATAGAAGTACTTAGATCCCCCTTCTCGTGTTATGTTCTATGCCATTGCGTCGATTGCCTGTCAACAAAAACAACAACAAAGCTAGTAACAGTATAAAGTACGATTTTATTTCTAGTTCAGGTTAACAATCTGATTGCTATCACAGTAAATGGAATCAATAAATATGCCATTAAATGTCAATCAAAATCAATAAATTATACAGTAGGCTCGGCGAACCCGTATCACTGAGTCTGAGGGTATAAGGACCACCGATCACTGCAAAAGTGATATGAGCTCGCCGATGATCACAGACAACGATAATTGCGCGTATATCTCAGGTAATGCAGCATTTGCGTGAAGGGCGAATGAACAGAAGAAAATGCTTGAACGGGGGCAGTAGGCGTGGGGCAGGCAGGCGGGCAGGAGGGCGCCAGCGCCCCTTGGCACCAACGCGCCACACAACATGTAGACTCACTCTGGGTGAAAGACGAGCGAGAAAGACGAAAACGAAAGAAGCGGACAAATGACGTCATTATCGCACCCGAGCAGCAGTTTATTACAGAATGGTGGTGAACATGATATTATTAACTGGGAAAAGAAGCAGCCGTTGAGAAACGAAAAAGCGAAATGCACAGGGAAATGTAGGCAAGAATAGGCAGCGAAGGATAGGGATTGCAGTTAAGGAGAATGAAGTGGGAATATGACGGAAACACCCTGAAGGACTACAAGGCGGTCGGCGTTGAACGCGTGGAGATCTCGAGAAGTGCAGCGAACACACCGACCGAACGACTAAAGGATGAAGGCATTGGAACGGAGAAATGCCCAGGAGAAGAGTAAGGCGGATGAGTGGGAGAAAAGACATGATTGAGGATGAAGCGAGAGAGGATTTCATAGAGAAAAATCAGTTGAAGGTACGGAGTCCAGATCGAGCACAATACATGATGACATTCCAGTTAGAAAGGCAGACCAAATCCGACTTCTCCACGGAACCGACACGTTCACCCGACGGCGCAATGTCACACATTCGTAAACATCTGGAGTAATCAATCGATTATCGATTTTCAAGCCTGAAGCGGATGTCACTTCTCTGCTGATCAATACACTTACCGATCTCCGACTCCTAAATCAGCATTCGACAGGCCAAGAAACTCGCAACACTTGCGATTGTCTCGATTCTGATTGGCGCAGTAGAGGATGGGCGATAAATACTGCAACAGATTACGGTAGTTTGTGGCATTTCAGGAAGATTCCTGAGGAGATCTTGGCCCTTACCTTGAGATCACATCCATCCTGTTGTACGGCAGCGATCATTGTCTCAGCAGCGACATGTTCACGATGTTCGTATGTACACAATGAGTGACAATTGGCTGGCACCTGAAATAGGAGGGAGATTACGGTGATTGAATGCTCCCCGACAGAAGTTTGGTAAGCATCTTCAAAGGGCAAAAACTATTTCTTTGTGATCATCAAGCAATGACCCCTCGCTGGAGGATATTTCGCATCATTGCAAGTGTCAAAGACCAATACGAGACAATCTCTCGCCGATTTCGTCAAGGCTACGGGCGTAGATGTACTAGATATCATTGCAATGGAGACGAAATACGAGAATGATGATCGACTGTAAATGGAAAAAGGAAACTTACATGTTGCTGACAACATGATTTGAATAAATCATCGACAGTTTTTCGTGCCAAACAAGGTGAATATGGGGGACGAGACGATTCCGTACCACATTCGACAGTCAGATCAGCGTCCGTTACCTCAGTGATCGGGTACTCCTGATTCAGGAGTTTACGATCACCACCTGAAACTGATTTTGGTAGCATGCACAATCCCATGTTTTTGAGAGGTTTCACCGAGGTATCCTGTTCCTGTGGAACAACTGGACTTTACAAACTTCAACTTCGTAAAGTCTGGAGGAGTCAACTCTTGGGCCACTGGGCTTGCAATATTGAAATAGCTAGCGAAGAACTGGTCATCACCCTCTTAAATCAGCAATCGGACTCTCTTGTCCAGACTGCGTAAATGTGCCCTAACTTGAGGTTATATAAAAAGTTGGTCTTTTCCCCCAAAGGTAATCAGAGATTGACCCACCGACAGGTGCCCGACGCCGATTCGATTTCTCCACCCACACTTCACCGTTGCGTGAAGGTCGAGAAGTGGTCTTTGGCAGAGCAACATTGGATGGACGTGGAGCTCGATGCGTTTGCGAAACTTCAACCTGAACATTGAAATGGCTTATTTGAGCGAATCATTCTCGGAAACTTTTCCTGGCAGCTCCCATTGATGGGAAACATTCTCTAACAGAATTACGTCAACTTAGAAATACTCATGATGAGGTTACGTCAAATATGGAGAGGCATCGCCATCGCTTATGAGATTCATTGAAAGAAACGCCTACTCTCACTAGCTGCAAACTTACTAAAGGAAGGGTTGTGGGACGGAAAAAAGAGAAAGTTTGATGGGTGGCTAAAAGTCAGATCCTGGATCAACTCCCATTCTGATATAGGCAGCCTACCAGTGCTGTAATGGCAAGCTGAAGCTCCATGGAATTCCTTTAAGTGCTTGCAGAAAGGGTCCATTCAAGCTTTGCAGTATTCCCTTCGAAGGACTCATGTGTAAAGCATATCAGAAGAACTGGTCGACTAAGGAACTTTGTCATAAGGATGTTGAGGGTCCCTAAAGCATTCGGCCATAACGAGACTCGAACCCGGGATTTGTTCCCAAGCTGCGCAGATGCTAGTTGATGGCATAGCTAGACTCAAAGCGTTCAGTTGGGAGTCAGAAAAGGAAAGCTGACCTGGGCAGGAGTTAATACCGATATACTACCAAATAAACAAGGAACGGACAAAGTAAGACCCCCCTTCAGAAGCAGTGAACGGAGCTTGTCTTTTTCCCATACAAGGCAGGACGTCGCAAAGGTCTATTCAGACAACTCAGTTTCTCATCGAGTACATGGGAAACGCTTTTCACGCTGCTTTTCGCACCGACATTTTTGTCCCGTTTGCTCACGTTACAGAGCTTTTGCCAAAGAGAAAGCAAAAAATCAAAGATGAACTCACCTTATTGTCTGAAACCATTTTCGTCTCCTCAATCGTATCAAATTTTTTGAGTTTATGGGGGCATTTCTCCGTCACGTAGTCAATACAACCAGTTAAGCATTTATCTGAAACAAGCAGATCAGCCACTGTATCGACTAACTGGCATGACCGCTCTGCAACCGCACGCTGCTGCAATCTATTTATTGCACAGCTCACAAACCACTCTCGGACGAGAACACCGCAAAAACGCTGCTATGGGCGGGAATTGTGGATTGTCCATCACGGACCATTAGAGCTTCCCTTTGTTCCAGAGTGTCGCCTTTATTCGGATGGATACAACTCTGATGAGGTGAAATCAGCTAGCTACTGGAAGCCAACTCCGTTCTATTCTTACAGGAGCTGGTTTCATGACGCATTCTCAAGAGGTGATTTAAGTCTGGCTAATCTTTTATGTTTTATCTTCTAGCCCAGATGAATCATCTCTCATTATCGTGAGGAAATCCTCCGAACATCACGTGACCATCAGCGATACGACGCAAAATCACAGATCAGCAGCGTCTCAATTCTATGCCTGTTGTTTCGTCACCCTCACGTATCCAACGCCCGTGAGCCCAGGGTGGGAAGATCGAGTTTCGCCCCATTCTTAGGCGGTTTCCTGAGATTCACGTGATCCCGACTTGTCTCCCAAAGAGATTCACGCTATACACTACAGACCAATCCACATTCCGATCTCCATGGAGGATAACAACAATATCATATCATATCAATGCAGAGAACGATCAAAATCGGATGATCACTTACCTAACACACGTTCGGTACAACACAGCACTTTTGGGATATCATGGCACTCGGGCAAGTTAACGTCGCCACGAACAGAAGTTGAAGAAGAAAGAAGAGTAATTACAAGAATAACCAATGACGGGCGAAGCCTGAAAAAGCGACTTATCTGATCATTGGTTACCAACTTTATTCACCTAATTTGGATAGACGAGAGTTTGGAAGGCTCATAGTCAGTGAATTCGAGGCTGAAGTCGTTCCGTGCTTTGTCCTCCATGGAGTGAATGAGAAATGTGGGACAATGGGAAGTACGCTGCTAGTCCCCGAAGGGTCAGAAGAGGCATTGCTTTCGTAGTAGCGCTTTACCTGTGCGATTGTTTGAAAAAATAGAAACGATCCAATTCGAAGACGAACAAGTGTAACCGTTCCCTCCTGGCTAGAATGAAGGACGGCTGCTTTATGGAATTTTTAGGGCCACTCAGCTCTGACACTGCTTGTCTTTTCCTCCGCTAGGCCAAAGTTCGTAGCTCGATCTCTGAAGACCTGGTGTCTGGTATGCTCTGTTTCGGATGGAATTGGAATAAGCGATGGAGATGATGCAATGGCTAGGAGCACTGTTGCCTTCAAATCAGTGAAACAGGTCCCACAATTGCTGGAGCAGGCTTCTACGGGAGGGCTTTGTCGTGCTCGAGATATGCCACAGCAACTGATTATCGTAGCAGTTTTGGATGGATGTGGAATGCGTGGTGAAATCCACTTTGGTGCGATTCTTGTTACAGAGCAAAAACAGGACTGGAAATTCAAAGGAGGCTCATTTAGTGAGTCATGTCAAGGCCTAAAAGGCTTTTGAAGTGCCTCTGAATTCGCCAGTGGAACTAGAAATGGTATACCCGTCAAGGGTAGACTACATTTCTCTACTGTGGCAACTACCAACCCTGCCTACTAGCTCTTTACTCATACGGAATCCTCACACTATATTCAATTAATCGATCGAAGCTGGAGTACACTCCCGGAAACTAGCATAAAGTGCTTCTTCATGTAGAAGGGAAGGAACATAGGAGCATTGGATAACTTTCCCAGGTCCCCTTTAACGAAGTGTCACTCGCAACCATAGTTTGCAACTTTGGCTTCTGTTCACTGATCAACTCCATTTGAATGTGTTCCTGAATTGTTTATACCCGACCCTTCACTAAGTCTAACTGTCGCTTGGAAGCTTCTCGAAAAGGGATAAGCGAAGTGTTGAATATCGCTACCCATAGGTGATTTATAGGTCAACAACTTCCGCGATTTCCGAAGTCGGAGCGTCAAACCGATGCATTCCAAAGAGACTTATCAGCACAAAATGGTTTCTGGTCTTTGACTAAGCGAGTGATTACAATTTGAGCCATAAGACTTGAGACCACAAGAGGTCAGAAAGTCAGCTCAGACTCGAAATACCCAAAAAATAAGCCATGTAATTTTAAGACAGAAGTAATAGGCCATAGATCGATGTTCTTGGGCTTACGCCGCACACCAAGCCTTAACCAGATCCGTTATGCTGATTGAATGGAGTTTAGCCTCGGATATCTGTATGCCGAAGCCATTTAAAGTCCGAACAAGGGTTGCTAAATCCTCTCTAGTCTAGACTGGTGGAAGTCAGTTGAACATACATGGTTTGGACAAGATTCGATCCATCTATCATGCGGGTAACACTATGCCCGTTTCCTCTACACTATCACCCATCACCATGGATAAAATATCTCAGATTGCATAATAAGAATAAGATGATTTTCAAAGCAATTGGAGTCGATTTGTGGCCAGCTGTCCCGTCAGGCGGCATGCAGCTTAGTAAAAATGCCAGTGATCAGCTGAGAATCCCTGACAGGAGAAGCTAGGAAAGAAACGGTCAGCAAAAGAATGGGGGTGTACGGTATCGTCGTATTATTGCCATTGTCTTCTGGACTGAACTTTGCTCGCTCGCGCTCCACTTCTGTCCACAGTCGGCCAAGGCAGGTGGCTTAATGTCTGGTCAGACGCTCCTAACAACACTGCAGATTGTCCGAGTCCGAGTTGCGTATCGTTGCGTTTTTGTGTCTGCTCGCATCATACGGCGCGTTCCTGACGAGGATGTTTTTGTTGGCTATGGGCTGCTGCGGGTCAGTAGGGTAAAACTCGCGCTGTATAACCTTGAATGTCGCGGGATGCGCTAGAAAAACATATGAGATGATAGGTTAACACAGCAAGAGGATCACTCGACGAGGTCACTGGTTGAGCCCGTCCACAACTATCATTGCCCGACCCCGCTATTAGACGAGAAAAGGCGGAGACGCAGTAGGACATTCAAGACAACACTTTACAAGAAAAGCTACAAAAATTTCCATACCTGACATTCATTTTCGTGAAAATAGTCCACCGCCGGCACTCGACGATGAGGCACAGCCACAGGGACCTTGGTTGTTGAAGAATGAGTCGAATGGGCGGTCCTGAAATGTCGATTGTTCCTTATATGGGAAAGCCTCTCGCAGAAATGGGGTCATCCATTAGACTTCGGGTTGCAAAGACAATGGTCGCCGAGCGGATGATATGCAACTATATTCTGTTGGTGACCGTTGAAACGGAGAGCGTGAGCCGAAACACCCGCTGGGTTATCACCAGGTGAAACTTCAAGTTTTCAAGGGATCTATGCATCGGAGGGGTTAGGCCGTTATGTGAAACCAGTAGATTTCTACTAAGGGTAAAACTCGCATGGCAGCCGATGTCCAAATTAGGACATTCATTGTGAGCTAATACCTGGGAAGCATGGACAGCCCAAGCGAGGGATGGGTACGTTTGGAAATAATCATATACGGTAGGATTACGCTGGAATACTTGATCGAAATTAAAATGAGGTTCTAGATTTCAAGAAACTGTTTACAAGTCTAGTTTGTAAACATCTTTTCGCCTGCGTTGGATAGAAACAGGGAGGAACCTTGATCAGGGACGCTCTACAGATATTCCGGCGCTGGTCTAGAGGTATCGTGGACCGCAGCATCTGGGAGGTTCGCAACTGTGAATGGGATCTTATCTCTCCTCACCTTCTCGTGAGGGTAAGGTGAAACCCAAGAAGTATCTGAATTGAAAGTGACGTCAACTGTTACAATTACATTAGATCCTTTCTTTTCCTTTTTTATTCCTATTAGAGTAAGCCCAAGTTTTACGGCGGTAAATTTTGATAGATCCCGGGGGATTTACAAATTTTAGAGAAAAATGGAAAATTTAATCTTACATTTTTTCTATTGTTGCCGAAGAGTCCACCTCCATTACTGTTTTTATCCATGAATGAGTCGCCGCCCACACCGCCAACGCCGTGTGTTGACCTAAAAATTTCGTTGATTTGCGCATCATGACCGTTAAACGTCGAAAAAATTCACCTAATTTCTAAGATGTTAGATGTAAAGAGAAATTAGGTGACAGTAAACAAAGGACTGTAACCTATGATCCCTTGGACTGTTCCCGAATCCCCATTTGGGAACAATTGATAACGTTCCACATAGAATGTGTAAGAACCGCTTTCGTAAATGGAAAAGTGTTCCAGAAGTGGTATGCCTTCTAATTTACGACCCATTTGATTAGGGTGTTGGGACTAATGTCCGTGTTCGAGCACGTTCTCGGCGGCCGACGGCCAACTGGTCACTCGTTAGCCGCCGCCAACCAGTCTTCCGTAAGCTTCGTAAGCATTACGCAACGACGACGATTCGCACACGGATAACAAGCAGAAGCAGCAGCAGCAGCAGCTTTGTTTGGGTGGCTGCCTGGAAGACGACGACGGTGTGTATGCGGGTGTGCACTGGACGATAATCGTAATCAGACAGTGCAGATTTGATCCACTTGAATGAATTGGATGTGGTCAAGCCCGAATGCCTGTCTCTGCTTGTCGGTCTAGTGGAAGTGCAGCCAGCCATGAATATGAATAACTGGCCGTAACATGCACGACTGCAAAGACGACAAAGGATTTTTGTCTATTTCGAAGGATAAGAATGGCTTGATTGGCTTGATTCTTTGGTGCGGAAATTATAGTAAGGAACGAGGTGGAAAGAATTTTAAAAATGATAAGAAATAGCGTAACGTACCAGTTCCCCGACCCGGTGCCAACAGCAAACGTAGAGGCTCCCGTTTGAGGCTGAAGGTCCGAGAGGGCTAGAGCGGCACGAGGAGATGGGCTATCTGGGAGCATCTTGGGATGGTTCTGAAATCGTTACATGAAGGAAGGCTACTTACACCGGCAGCGGAAGAAAAAACACGAAAATCGGAAGGAAATCGACGGACAAGCGGAAAAGAGAATAACCATGCGAAGGCAACGAATAACGGAGTGAAATGGAATGATTCAGTGTCCAATGGCTTAAGCAAGCCGTCTTAGTGGTCGCTATGTAGGGTTCCTTCTGGCGGGCCGGCCACTGAGCGCGGCTAGCTACGGTCGGTGCTAATGTGAAGTCGAGACTGGTAGACAGTAGCACCCGTCGCACCATGCTACGCCCCTTTGTGCCCGGCTCGGCTCCGCCTATTTCCGTCAAGGCGCCTGCGCTGAGTGGCAGACCACACCTACTCGGGCGTACGCAAAGCTGGCGGACGACGGCTGGAGCCTTCAGGCACCGCCTCATTAATAGGGGGATCATCGGGGCGATGACGTGACATTCTCGGGACATCTGACTGGTGGCGGAAGGAAGAAAGACAGCAACAAACTAGTCGTTCATGAGTAATTTGGGTCGATCAGAGGTCTATTTTTGGAATGTAGAACGCGTAAAAAACAGACATACTCACTTGTCTGATCATTCCTTATTTGGCGAGTGCTGACCTATTTTTGGGAGCCATATGGATGGGGAAAGCTCCCTTTGAAATGGAGTGGAAAAATGTTCTTGGGAGGGGAAAGAGCTGAGTGTAAAGGGTAAAGGAGAATGTCAAAAGCTTCGGGTGGTTTCTTTCTCATCTAACTCCCATCTGTTAGTATCTCTAGCCTTTAAATAGAGAGAACAACAAAATCTACCGCCTTTTGAGCTCCTTTCAATCCTAGGGGCTCAGTATGGCTTGGATTTATAGCCTATGGAAGGAACTCTGAGCCTGAAGGACGCCTTGTTAGGTATGAACTTTCATCTACTTCGATGAATTCGCAAAGCCTGTCCCTCCCAAGTGTGCCCAAATAGATATGGTCCGGCAACTTTCCATAGAACGATTTTCTTCAAAATCGAAATTTGGCTGGGTTCCTTGAGAGGCCTCACAAAAGTTTAGCGATAAAAGTGCTCACACTCGACAAGCCTAATATTCAAGTGGTAATTCAATAGTTACTAGTAGCATGAATTTCAGCGACGGAGGCTCATTTTTTGTTCATTCTATTTCAAAAAAATTAGTGACCTGTTTATTGTAGACAGGTGCGATTTTGACGAGAACACATACTTTCTTTCGAAAAAAACAATGACGGAAAGCTTATTTCTGAAAGAATTGTCAATGAAATAAGGCGAGCAAGCCTCTACCTATATCTCCATAACGAGAGTTTTAAATGGCCGGAGATCTCGTATTTTGGTCACTTGGGAAGAATATGGTGTGTCAGCCACCTCGGAGAACCCCAAAAATGGTCCTTTGAACTTTGGCCTCAGAAGCCAGATGGTCGAAGACGAAGACGTCATGAAGTGCTCCAAAAATGGTTGGATTCAGTCAAAAGAGATTCTAGGAAATGCTGCATAGTTTTTGATAGGGTAACACTGACAATAGGTGTAGCTGGTTCAGGCGCGGTAGGGGGGTAGATTGAGAGAGTGTGGAAGAACGAAACGAAGCACGGAACAGGTTAGACAACCAGTTAATGTGTAGGATTGATAATCGGAATCCAAACAATTCAACACGGATCTTATTGTTCGAATAACGAGTTCGAGTCAGTCATAGGCGGCGTAGAGGTGTAGGTAACGTCGTCGCCAGATGATCGGTCAGGATTGCGGAAACGAAACGAAAATCAAGAATATACGGAGAGAAAATAGAAGACTGGAACGACTGTTGATGATAGAAAAAGATATTGGCGGGTAAGATAGGATATGAACATATGGTTATGGATGAAAGTGTACGAGAAAGGAGAAAGGGAGGCCGCCATCTTACGGCTGGCTGGTGAACAACACAGTATACAAGGCCGATGATGGTTTCGGCGACTGGCAGTGTTATATCCCGTCTATCTATGTGGTATATGCAAGGTCAATCGTGGTCCGATGAGGAAGGATAAACAACGCATGGCGCATGACTCGCATTCCTGACGAATTTGTGTCACACCGCAAGTGCAGACAGTGTTGTGGATATGGATGTCAAGGAAGAGGAATCTCAGCTGGCGCATAGCAGAAAATTGTGTCTGCCTGGTCTTCTGAGAACGTCGATCGGTAAGTCGACGAAGCAGAAAAGAATTGAAGCCTTGACAAAGCCGCTCTTTCAACGTCAAGCCACAGACACACACAGACAGACACATAGCTGTACGATCGGCAAAAGAATGGCTAACACCCGGCTTTGGGGCAGCCTTTTGTTGCCAATGGAAGCTATCATAGACTATCATTACCGTGAATGGTTATGGAGACTGGCTTAGCGGCTCCACGACGATCCAGCTCTCTAACTGGCCAACGCAAATGCCAATTTGCCAAGATCGGACTTCGAAAAGATCGAGATATGATGTCTATTGTGTCTATGATGATCTTTCTAAGCAGGTTCTTTACACGAACTCGAAAAAGAATCATGATCGATTTAGCCAGAAAAGCCTGAAACGATGACATTAGCTGAAAGAATCATGGCGTAAAAATGATTGTGTACTACGCCATCAGACAATAATTTGGCAGAATAAAGAAATTTTTTGAAAAATTCCAACACTGCCGAGCTCCTATCGGAACAGAATGAAAGGGACAAAGATTGCCGCGAAAATTTCGCGAGAAAAGATTGAAACTTCAGCTGCTTTGCTGAGGAGTGACATACGAATTGGCTAGAGGGGGGTCACCCTGTTCGCTAAGATCGAATCCTGAGTAGGTCAGTTCGAACGTGGACCGTGCAGTTACCCAGACAAATTACTCACTCTACCTTGGAGCAAGGAACGTAGGCTACGGCTGTGCCATTAGCTAGTTATTTTGGACTTTAAATACATCACCTAATCATTCACACTCTTCAGGAATTCCTGCCAAGAGCTAAGACCATGGCACAATCTTTTCCGTTAGTTGGTAGCCCCTGTCTTTACCGGTTAGAGTAGTAGTGTCAAACAATGGAGCAACGCGGCTACTATTCTTTTACTGACTAGGTTTGGGCTTCCCGAATCTTCCTGATCTCCTCGAGAAGTGATGTTCCTAGACGAGAGGACAAGAGAAGTTAGAGGAGGAATCGTTCGGCAAACCACATAGGCTAATGTATTAGCGAGTTACGGTACAGCGTCTAGCCGCGAATACCCGTTAACATTCCCGGATCAGCACCGTAAACAAAGTAATCGGTTCCCAATTAGAAGGAGCTCCATACGGCGGCATCGCCCAAGCGTGCTCGTGTTGGCCAAAGTGGCGAGTCAGAGATCTTCCACACAAATCGACATTGTATCCTGTGTTCTAGATGTATCGAGCTGATGTCCTTCCCGAGCCACCACCACCGTCCACCGCTATCCCGTCTACGGTAGCGATCTGCTTGTTGTTTTGGCGACTGCACGCACACGATTCGGATTAGACGGCGGCACGTCAAGGTCGGATTGTGGCAGTGGAAGACGGATATGGCGAGAGTGACGGCGATGCTATGTTCTAGCATGACATATATTAACCAATTCAATCATATTTGTCTGTACGGGAATAGTAATAAGGACGAACTGGTAGGTGCTGGTTGCGCCGCGCCGACGAGAGTTTGCAATGGTGTCAAGGGCATCGAAGCATGTCTGGACAGCCAAAGCTAGAGTTTGAGCTACTTTCGAGGGTCAGTTGGACAACTGCTTAGAAACTGTTTATCTGGGAAGATACTGAAGCCGGTGCTATCTTCCAGAACGTCCAGAGTCAGCGTACTTCCCCATCGGAATGGACCATATAGCTCATTAAAGAATAATACCGTATAAGGTAGCTAAGCGATCTTCCGGACATCATTGTCATCGGCGGCGGTGCGCTGCTTCTATCTAGCAAGCAACAGCCGCAACCCGGGGCTTGTTGCGCACCTTTTTCCCGTGGTCGACCCAGCAAGCAGCCATCGACAGCCGTTGTCGCCGCCGTCGGCCGTTGTTTAGAGCGGCCCCCGCCGTCCCCACTTGTGGGGGCCAGTTTCATCGAGCGCATTGGGCGCTTTTTCGAGATCAAGCCGATTGCGCTGATCCTTATCTGGAACACTATGCAGCTAGCGAAAAGCCAGCGAAACGTCCGCAACTCGCGCGCTCATGCTAAAGGTGCCGTCACACGCGTAATGTGGGAGCAACAGCATTTGGAACGAGAAGCGGTATATGGGAAAGTGCCCATGACTTCAGAATCTATTGGAAGGTAGTTATATGGATAAGAAAACGCTAATTGTTTAGGTGATCGTGTTATCATAGCGAAATCAGAGGGCTTAGGGGATTTGCCTCGGCAGGGGTCGAACTCGTGACCTCAACGATGAAGCTGAACAAATTTTATTAATGACTCAAGGAAAGCCACAGATTGGAGGCTGGAAGACAATTTGGATTCAAAGAAAGAGATAGCTTCAAATTGTTGAATCACGGCTTATTCAACTCTGAGCGCAGTTCAGGAGGTACCCAGAGTGAATCACGATGAAGCAAACGATATAGAACACCCGACCCCTTCAGCTTATCCTCGGAATCATGAAAGTGGCTAAATGTAAGTTCCACCCGTTCTGTAGGCTCAAGTGAGGCTTATGTTCGTCATTCAGCTCACCGATGGAGAGGTTGAGAACCCAAAGCTTTTTCAAATCAACTTCTGTGTGTAGAAGTGCTGGTAGCCGTTCACACTTCTCTACCTGTAGCCATCGGCTCTATCGAAGAATCTTATCAAATTCAACGTAAGAAAACGCAAAATAGTTGCAAAAACGGCGTTCCATTTGTAAAAGAATTGAATTGAAAAAAATGTTGCCACTGATTGGCCGTTCCATACGGTAGATGTCAGTGACAAAAACAACAAGTAAGGATGTAAGGGATTTTTGTCACCTCGATATTTGGAAATGCTCCATATTTCAACTTCTGTTCAGAATCGTGGTGACAGTTGTACTTCCAGAATG